ATGATGCTCCCAATGCGAACTGTTTTTTTCCGGTCAAGCCACGCCCACTCTAACGCCCACAAAACCCGAAAAACCAAAAATGCAAAAATCTCAAAAACTATAAGAGCTTCACAATTTTGCTTAGAAGCACATATTTAGTGGATGCCTCTGCAACTTGCCACGAAGTTGCATTTGAACACGCCCACTCTAACGCCTACAAACCGCGGAAAACTGTGGCGTCTATAATATTATTATGAATGCCTTTGTTTGACCTTGTATAACTTATTTCTGTTAATATCTATCGATTTACCAAAGGTTTTTCAAATCGGAACATTATTTCGCTATTTATGAAGAAATTAAAGTTATAAGGCCTCACATGGGAAGTGACGTCACTATAAGCATACTCAACATACTTCCTCTGACAATAGGTGGCGCCTTGTGAATTTTCACTAGCAAAATAATATTTTAAAATTTTGTAAAACAGTAACGGGTATCTTATAGTCGCGGCACTCGACTATAGCGTTTCCTCTTGTTTTCAATTAAATCGATAGTTTAGCGAATGGAATTTATTGCGCTTAAGCTGTTATGCGTTCAATGTTCAGATTTAAAATTGGTTCTCTGGCCGTCTCGACTCCAAGACATCCAGAAATGGCGTTCCCTTGATTGTTTTATAACAAAGTGTTCTGTAAAGATATTTGGCTGCAGACGTTTTTGGCTACGTTTTGTTCAGCTTTCTTCGACCAGTTCAAATCGTTCTTGGTCTTTGCCACATCTCGAGATAGCTTTCAACTTCACTTAGAACCCCGCTCCACATGTCCATAAAATGGGCGGATACAGTTAACGTCTTGTTTACCGCTTCCTTGCTGCGAACCATCGCCTTGTTCTATTCGCAAACGAACACCATGAGATCCAAAGCGTGATCGGTAGCGTGTAACCGTTTACCAGTCCTTGGTGAGCTGGGCACTGAAGTAGGCGACATACCTATCCTACGCTAATGAGCGGTCCGGAACGGAATCGACCTTGCCAAAATGAAACCACATTCTTGAAATTGCCTCAATATATTATTCACAAAGAACACAATATTGTTAACGTAGACAACGGATTTACTAAAATGAAAGATCGGTATTTGTGCCACGAAAACGCAATCTCTAATAATAACAAGTACAGTAAAAATGTTTAGTGTTCTAAAAGGAAAATCAGCGATATGCGAAGTAAAATAAATCGGATTGGACTTATTGATCATTTCATCGGATGACGGAAAAGTTTATCTAAATTAACATTGCAAATGTCTCCATTATTCCATATAATCAATGCCAACACAATTAACAATCTAACTTATGGCGAAGACATAGGAGAATTCAGAGACGACTTTAGCATAGTTTTGTCTGCAAAGACACTAATCCTGGTCAACAAAACAATCCGACAACTTAGCCTGCATACCGTACATCTTATTTCTTTTTTTGGAAAGATTTTAAAGGTTGAAAAATCAGAGTCTCCACACCTCACTTTTACATATATTTGGATAGGGATCTTGACAACCGAAATAGCGTTAGAAATGTTTCTGAGGAGGAAAACAACGTACATCATCCCAGCAGAACCTCCAAGCAGTTTCGTTCCATTCCTCCTCTCTCGCCGTCACTTCAAGCCAGCGGAGGAGAAATTTACAACACCGGTGGACCCCCCAACAAAGCCACCTCGTGCTACCCTACAGATCGGCAGCAAGCGGTCAACGGCCGCTCACTAAAACAACAACAAGTTGCAACATCAGCAGTCAGAAGAATTTAGCGACTCCATAGCAATCGGTTAGCGGTCCCCACTCCCCTACGAAAAGTGCATGATCAGCAATTAGCAGGATGTTGCTCTTGCAACACTCGTCAGCCGACAAAACGACTAAAAACATTTATACATATATATTAACATATTTTCTTAACATTGTATTCTAGAACCATTTTCGTGCAGCGGAGGTTTGACGTATACCTCGTGCTAAGTAATAAAGCATTATGATTTGAAAGCTCAAAGAAAAAAGGCATAACTATTCTGCTCCCATGCCATGACTCTCGCAACTCATTAGACCAAATAATTATGCAATGAGGAACTCAGCAAAGTCTTATCACACAACATTCCACTATTCCTTTATGCATACAAAAATTCATCCAAAGATGAAATGAAGATAAGAGAACTTCTCTAAAGTTCGAGATGCCGTTGTTCTGCCTATGTATCGCCGTCCTCATTTTCAGTGATTCGCAGAGCCGTCTTGCAAACCTAAAGATCTTAGGAACTATAAGAGATGCAAAGTGTAGATCGCAGTTTGTAAAAAGCTGATATCTCGGTAACTATAAGTGATAAAAAGTTCTTATTAAGGATGTTGGGTTTTTTTGATGCCCCTTATGCGAAGTCTTCTTCCGATCAAGCCACGCTCACAAAACCCAAAAACACAAAAATGCGAAAATCTCGAGAACTATAAGGGCTAGAAAGTTGTGCTTAAGAATACGTATTAAAGAGTGCAACGCCCCCAATGCCAAATCTCTCTAAGATACTAGGGAACCTTGGCAAAAAACGACCGTGATAAAACTTCATTCTCGGTAAACGGAGGGAAGTATGAGTTCCAAAGGCTTCCATTTGGACCCAGAAATGCAGCACGCATTTACCAGAAAACTATTGATGACATCCTGCGAGAGCAGGTCGGCAAGTTCTACTACGTGTATATAGATGATGTAATCGTCTTTGCCGAAAACGAGAATGACAATGTAAAGCACGTAGATTTAGTTCTAAAGAGCCTATACGATGCGAACATGAGGATATCGGCGCAGAAATCTAGTTTCTCCAAGAAACACGTCAGTTTCCTAGGGTTCATCGTAACCAATAACGCTGCCGCGACAGACCCAGAGAAGGTCAAGGCCCTTAGAGAATTCCCGGAACCAAAAAATGTGTTCGATGTGAGATCATTCATAGGTCTGGCAAACTATTATAGAGGCTTTATCAAAGATTTTTCATCAATAGCGAGACCCGTTTCAGACATACACGAAAATGTTAAGGAGCATCCAGGTGCAGTTATCAAAAGCACAACGACGGGCCTTCGAGAAACTGCGTAACTGAGGACGTCATCCTCAGATCAGTGTTTTGATCGAATGACAGATGCTTCAGCCTACGGCATCGGTGCAGTGCTGTCCCAAGAGGGATGCCCCATCACAATGATCTCTAGGACATTGAGTGACAGGGAGGTTAACTATGCTACCAGAGCTGTTAGTTATAGTATGGGCACTAGCTAAGTTATAGCACTACGTCTAGGCGGTAAAAGAGCTAGAAGGACTTACCAACACCATCATCCCTAATGGTGTAAATGACTTTCACCGACATCTTTGCAGCCGAATAGAGGTAAGAAATCCTCATCGCCCAGCATAGCAGAGCTCACAGGTTGGCCGAAGAAAACGTGAAGCAGGTACTCTCCGCGTAATACTACCCGAAGATGGCAAAGTTAGCAAGCGAAATCGTCGCTATTTGCAAAACATGTGCCAAAGCGAAGTGCGACAGACATCCGAAAAAACAGGAGCTTGGCGAAACACAAATCCCTGCCTATGTCCACGGACAAGAAGTACTTCCTCACCTGCTTCGACAAATTTTCAAAATTTGCTGTGGTGCCCCCGATTCCGTCTAGAGGATCCAAAATCACCCCTGCTACAACTAATGATTTTTTGCCCCAAAGCCAATACCATCTATTGCGACAACGATGAACTCGCATACGATCACAGCCGAGCTAAAAAATCATTTTGGCATCAGCATCTCGAATGTTCCGCCCCTCCATAACGTCTCCAACGGACAAGTGGGACGCTTTCATAACACGCTAATAGAGCTAGTAAGATGCCTGAAAATCGACAAAGGCATACGCGACACGTTAGAACTGATATTACTGGCCAGGGCCAGATATAACAAATATATCCATTTGGTCATGCCCAAAACGCGATCAGAGCACGAGAAAACGCTTTTCGCCCGAACAGAGTATACAGGGTCGGGAATAAAGTCCTAGAGAAATCAAACAGGAGACAAGGCAACAAACTCAGACCATTGTGCGAGGAGAAAGCCATCGAGGCGGATATGGGTACCAAATTAAGGGGAGGGTGGTCCACAAAGACAATCTAAAATAAGCCAAGCAGGTTTCCGTTTCCCCTTAATTTTCTTTAATTCTTTTTAACCAACAACATTGTCGACTGTTTCCTCATTCCCACATGAGAAAGCTTCTGATCATCGACACTGCTCATCTTCGCGACATGCTGGGATCGTTGGGCATTTATCACCGGGTAGCTAGGAGCCTAGTATTATTAGGGACCGCGCTAGAAGTTGTCACAGGGCTTAAAGAGAATCTAATGCACAGAAGCGCAACTCATTAATTTAAGCAATACGCAATTTAACATAAACACCAAAATGCAGGATCAAATCAACGAAATCACCACAACAGTCAAGCTAGAAGCCTAGATTTCTTAGGGACCACGCTAAAAGTTGTCGCAGGGACACCTGACTCGGAGAACTTAGAGAAAATTTAATTCACAGAAGCAAAACTCATTAATTCAATCAAACGACAAATTAACATAAATACCAACATTTAGCATTAAATCAACGAAATTATTAAAACAGTCAATCAGATTTTGAAAGCATCCGAAAGTACACAAATAGATTCAGGTCGTTTATACTCGATATTGTTAACTCGTAAAAAAGTCATAATCATAGAATTGCAAAACCAAACACTCCTCAGCTCTCGCTAAAGTAAATATAGTTTCCAAGAGGCCCTTAGGGGTGGCCATCTCACCTGTCCTGAACATCTCCATTTAAAACTAAGCCTCAGCTTGAGTGAACGCAGCCTGGACCATATCAAGGAGTTCCGAGAGAACATTGGCAATTATCGAGTGAGTCAGATAGCTGTAATTGCAGGAGCATTTTGTTGTGCTTTAGTCTGTACCGGCCTAACTTGCCAACGAGTCATGAGGGCCAGAAGTTCTGCGGTCCAGTTGAGGGAAGTGATAGCTAATTTAGGGTCGGCAGGGGGCGGCCTTAATTCCAAGAGGGAAGTAGTTATCTAAGTTAACCAGATGACGGCAATGACCGATCGTACGATGACCGCCACCGGCAAAACTGCTGACACAGCGTCTGGCTGGAATCTCGTGCATAGCCGGCAAGCTCTACACATTGGTGAGGCCGCTATGATGTTATTTATGTTAGCCCTTAAGTTCAGTTCATTTTTGACATTCAAACAATAAAGACCATAAGCTCTCTGAATGAAACTCCGGCAAACAGCCGTTAACTCTCATAAAGTAGAATCATAATGTCTGAGTCTCTAGGCCATCAGTAATTAAAGGGCAGTTCCCCTTCCATCCTAATCATCCTGGTGGTCACCGTGACCGCAGCGGGGGATCTTACTGTTAGTTCTATCTTCTCTGTTAGTAAAACGACCAGGAACGGATCCCACGTTAATTCGTTAATGTTCAGATCCTTTAAAGAAGAGGCAGACTCTATCGTAGTTCCCAGGCCTGTATATGGTTTTCTTCCTTGGGTTACCGTAAGACTATTTTTGTACACTTTTTTCAATTGATTCATGAAACCCTCCATAAATCTTTAAGTGCACCTCTTGTACATGTGCCCACAGCGAGTTCATGATTTCATTGGCCTGAACTTAAGCAACGCATGTTTCTTTAGCGCGTCTAGTAGGGAATCTGTTACCTCTGATTGTCGGCGACATAGCGAGGATAACCGTTTATCACTACTTTTAGCGTCAACAGGCTACGAACCTCTCCTTGAGCTGCGAAGTTAGGCGAGCCTTTAAAACAAATGTTATGGTGGTAGGTTCACTTTTGAGCATATAGCACATAAACTATAAGCTGGGTGGTCTCGCTGCTGGCACTTGTAACCAGGTGAGCGAGTGAAAGATTATCGCAAGAAGAGAAACTGAAGACACGGCGAAAGTCTCCGATTATTGTTATACTGAATGAGAGACAGTTCTTAAATGATTTGCTAATACTGACTTTTTGAACAAACTTAATAGTATTTATAAGGACAAAATGATGAAGTAAACAAAACTAGATATAAAGAAACAAAAAAAGTATATTTTGCAAGCGGAGTCAGTTGGTAAATTACAGAGTGCACAGCCCTATATATGATTATTATTATTATATTTTATTATATTATATTATATTATATTATGTAATATTATATTAATACAATATATATTATATTATATTATATTATATTACACTATATTATATTATATTATATTATATTATATTATATTATATTATATTATATTATATTATATTATATTATATTATATTATATTATATTATATTATATTATATAATATTTTATTATATTATATTATATTATATATATTTTATAATATTATATTATATTAACGAACACAAGTTTCAAAGACTTTCATTGGTTATTTAATATCAAGTGTTAAATGTGTTTATAAGAACTTACCCATCTAAATATTAAGTCATAAGGCTCAAAAACTTTAACCAGGGAAGCTGCTGCTATCGCCAAAAATCCAAGGGCAAGCAGCAGAAATGCGCCTGCAATAAATAATAAATACGGTTATATTTATGTACATTTATGCCATAAAAAATATTATATCATGTACAATTAACGCCAATAAAACAAAAAAAGAATAATCACAGAATATACAAATAATATTAAAAACTGTATAGAGCTTTTCCAAATAATGTAATTTTGATAAACGTGTCTAACAAAGGTGCTTGGTATTACCGGAATGGTATTACCGGATGGTATTATCGGCGCCACTACACGCCACGTAAATAGTTCTAAGTACACCACTGCCATCGACTATATGGGGATGTCAGAATTTCTTAGATGCATCTTAGGTTCCATAAATACCGATAAACAGACAGACAGAAAACAGAAAACAGAACAGACAGACAAACAAATAAACTTTCAAGCAGACAGACAAAAAACATATACACAGCTAAGCAGGTTAACAAGCAGATGGATATACCGGCAGCTACTTAGACACACGGACAGTAGACATACGGCCATACAGACATACAGATATACAGATATACAGCCATAAAGACATACAGACATGCAGACTTATAGATTAACACACATACAGACATACAGACATACACACTGACAGACTGACAGACTGACAGACTGACAGACTGACAGACTGACAGACTGACAGACTGACAGACTGACAGACTGACAGACTGACAGACTGACAGACTGACAGACTGACAGACGGACAGACGGATGACAGACTGACAGACTGACAGACTGACAGACTGACAGACTGACAGACTGACAGGCTGACAGACTGACAGACTGACAGACTGACAGACTGACAGACTGACAGACTGACAGACTGACAGACTGACAGACTGACAGACTGACAGACTGACAGACTGACAGACTGACAGACTGACAGACTGACAGACTGACAGACTGACAGACTGACAGACTGACAGACTGACAGACTGACAGACTGACAGACTGACAGACTGACAGACTGACAGACTGACAGGATGACAGACTGACAGACTGACAGACTGACAGACTGACTGACAGACTGACAGACTGACAGACTGACAGACTGACAGACTGACAGACTGACAGACTGACAGACTGACAGACTGACAGACTGACAGACTGACAGACTGACAGACTGACAGACTGACAGACTGACAGACTGACAGACTGACAGACTGACAGACTGACAGACTGACAGACTGACAGACTGACAGACTGACAGACTGACAGACTGACAGACTGACAGACTGACAGACTGACGGGCTGACAGACTGACAGACTGACAGACTGACAGACTGACAGACTGACAGACTGACAGACTGACAGACTGACAGACTGACAGACTGACAGACTGACAGACTGACAGACTGACAGACTGACAGACTGACAGACTGACAGACTGACAGACTGACAGACTGACAGACTGGGACTGACAGACTGACAGACTGACAGACTGACAGACTGACAGACTGACAGACTGACAGACTGACAGACTGACAGACTGACAGACTGACAGGCTGACAGACTGACAAGACTGACAGACTGACAGACTGACAGACTGACAGACTGACAGACTGACAGACTGACAGACTGACAGACTGACAGACTGACAGACTGACAGACTGACAGACTGACAGACTGACAGACTGACAGACTGACAGACTGACAGACTGACAGACAGACTGACAGACTGACAGACTGACAGACTGACAGACTGACTGACAGACTGACAGACTGACAGACTGACAGACTGACAGACTGACAGACTGACAGACTGACAGACTGACAGACTGACAGACTGACAGACTGACAGACTGACAGACTGACTGACAGACTGACAGACTGACAGACTGACAGACTGACAGACTGACAGACTGACAGACTGACAGACTGACAGACTGACAGACTGACAGACTGACAGACTGACAGACTGACAGACTGACAGACTGACAGACTGACAGACTGACAGACTGACAGACTGACAGACTGACAGACTGACAGACTGACAGACTGACAGACTGACAGACTGACAGACTGACAGACTGACAGACTGACAGACTGACAGACTGACAGACTGACAGACTGACAGACTGACAGACTGACAGACTGACAGACTGACAGACTGACAGACTGACAGACTGACAGACTGACAGACTGACAGACTGACAGACTGACAGACTGACAGACTGACAGACTGACAGACTGACAGACTGACAGACTGACAGACTGACAGACTGACAGACTGACAGACTGACAGACTGACAGACTGACAGACTGACAGACTGACAGACTGACAGACTGACAGACTGACAGACTGACAGACTGACAGACTGACAGACTGACAGACTGACAGACTGACAGACTGACAGACTGACAGACTGACAGACTGACAGACTGACAGACTGACAGACTGACAGACTGACAGACTGACAGACTGACAGACTGACAGACTGACAGACTGACAGACTGACAGACTGACAGACTGACAGACTGACAGACTGACAGACTGACAGACTGACAGACTGACAGACTGACAGACTGACAGACTGACAGACTGACAGACTGACAGACTGACAGACTGACAGACTGACAGACTGACAGACTGACAGACTGACAGACTGACAGACTGACAGACTGACAGACTGACAGACTGACAGACTGACAGACTGACAGACTGACAGACTGACAGACTGACAGACTGACAGACTGACAGACTGACAGACTGACAGACTGACAGACTGACAGACTGACAGACTGACAGACTGACAGACTGACAGACTGACAGACTGACAGACTGACAGACTGACAGACTGACAGACTGACAGACTGACAGACTGACAGACTGACAGACTGACAGACTGACAGACTGACAGACTGACAGACTGACAGACTGACAGACTGACAGACTGACAGACTGACAGACTGACAGACTGACAGACTGACAGACTGACAGACTGACAGACTGACAGACTGACAGACTGACAGACTGACAGACTGACAGACTGACAGACTGACAGACACAGACTGACAGACTGACAGACTGACAGACTGACAGACTGACAGACTGACAGACTGACAGACTGACAGACTGACAGACTGACAGACTGACAGACTGACAGACTGACAGACTGACAGACTGACAGACTGACAGACTGACAGACTGACAGACTGACACTGACAGACTGACAGACTGACAGACTGACAGACTGACAGACTGACAGACTGACAGACTGACAGACTGACAGACTGACAGACTGACAGACTGACAGACTGACAGACTGACTGACAGACTGACAGACTGACAGACTGACAGACTGACAGACTGACAGACTGACAGACTGACAGACTGACAGACTGACAGACTGACAGACTGACAGACTGACAGACTGACAGACTGACAGACTGACAGACTGACAGACTGACAGACTGACAGACTGACAGACTGACAGACTGACAGACTGACAGACTGACAGACTGACAGACTGACAGACTGACAGACTGACAGACTGACAGACTGACAGACTGACAGACTGACAGACTGACAGACTGACAGACTGACAGACTGACAGACTGACAGACTGACAGACTGACAGACTGACAGACTGACAGACTGAAAGACTGAAAGACTGACAAATATTGATTCCGAATATTGAATCCGAATATTGATTCTGTTTAAGAAATACATCTTAAAGAGCTGCAATTGTACCCTTATATGTAGAATTAGAAATGCTTATGCTGTATTTGTATTTCATACATTTTACATTAAATTACCTAAAATCACTTACCAACATGGCAATATTCAGCATAACAACTTCATCGTTTTCATGACAACCCTGCGACATTTGCTCTTGCCAGACTAAGGGATGACTGGGTGTGCTGGACATAGTGTTATTTTGATTGAACGTCACATTTTCGTGAGTCATAATCTCCCTAAAGGCGTAAGGTGAGCATCAGAAATTAAAATTTGATGAAATATCTAACATACTTGTATACATAAGGACCAACTTGTTCCACACGAAGGCGTTCTCGACCCGCTAAAAATTCCTGGGCATTGGATATGTTAAATATGTATATCTTGATGTATAGATCGACCGGTGGCTGCGCCCAAAGATTAAATATTTCGCCTCCCTCCGTCATTATTAACTTCTGCAAGGAAAAAATTTTGTTGAACAATATGCAGTCTGTTTATCTGTAGCCTTCGAAATGGCAGTCGATTCAATGTGCCGAAAAAGTTAATCCTTAGGTGACAGACAATATGTATCTGTTGGTATATGCACATAGACTATCTGTCGCAGCTGGCAAGTGTAACCAGGTGGACAGCGGAGGGATTATAGCAATATGAGCATCTAAAGACACGGCGACAGCCTCTGATAACTGCGTGAATGAATGAGAAACAGTTCTTGAATGCTCTTAGACTGATACTGTCTTTATTGAACAAACTTATCTTTGTTTTGATATTAAGTTTTCTTCTACTTTTCTCAATGCTATAATACCAAAAGTTTTTAACCTGATGCACAGTTGTTTAACTCTTATTGACATCGAACTGAAAGTTCCGTGGACTGGAGGCTGGATGGGTTGTACCGTTGTCTTCCATTGCTTGGACGTCTACTTTCCTAAATTTTCAAATCAGATATCCTTTCCGCGTGATGAATGTGACTACAAGCAAGATTATCACGATTACGTAACATTTCTCCCAACGACACTTGATTCAGTTACTCAGTTTATTCACTTTAATTCAGTTCAGTTTGACTAAATAGATATTAATGAAACACAGTACACATCTGGTTTTGGATTTTATTATGAAAATGGTCTCACTGATATGATGGAAGAACAAGAACTATGATGCTTGTCTCTTATATATTGTACCGTTATTTAGGGGACTGCCTTAAGTGCTAAGTGTGGCTTAAGTTGGGTTTCTGTGTCTTTTCAGAAGTTACCTAATAGGTTATGGACAAAGTATTTGCGAACAGTTGATTGTGTGGATATCTTTAATTATAAGCTCCTCCTGCAATCTGTATTTGTTGTTTCCATTGCAATTTAAATGAAGCCTTTCTATGTCTGCAATTCTGCATGTGAAAACTGTTTGTTTAGAAAACGTGCTAGCTGTTCTGCTCTAACTTCGTTGTAGATTTTAATTTTTTTTTGGCTTAGCAAATTTTGTAAATTGGTCAACTATAATTAGTAATTTTGTCTTCCAGTTCCTATCTTTAATATTATATGCAGTTCATAATTTTACTCGTGGAGTGAAAGGGTATACTAGATTCGTTGAAAAGTATGTAACAGATAGTAGGAAGCGTTTCCGACCCAATAAAGTATATATAGTCTTGATCAGGATGAATAGCGAAGTCGATTGACCCATGTCCGTCTGTCCGTCCGTCCGTATGAACGCTGAGATCTTAGGAACTATAACAGATACAAAGTTGAGATTAAGCATGAAGATTCTTGAGGTCCCGGGACAGCGCAAGTTTATTTCAGCATCCTGCCACGCCCACTCTAACGCCGACAAATCACGAAAAACAAAACCGCTGAAATCTCGGGAGCTATTAGAGCTAGAAAGTTGAAATTCAGTATGTATAAACTTTGGATGCCAGCGCATCTTCTAGTGGTACTATTATCCAAGCTTAAACGATGGTTTTCGCATTTTCAAGAAAAAGTGATATCTCGGTAACTATAAGTGATAGAAATTTCGGACTAAGCATGTAGGTTTTTATGATGCCCCAAATGCGAATTGTTTTTTTCCTATCAAGCCACGCCCACCCTAACGCCCACAAAACCCGAAAACCAAAAATGCAAAAATTTCAAGAACTAAAGGAGCTAAAAAATAAGAAGAAATAGAGTTTATGTAAATTTATGTTATCTATTCACACCAAACGTTCGTAGCGAGGCATTGATTTTTGTTGATGACATATGCTTGGCAATCGCTAACAAGACACTGGTGCAACTGCTAATGTGAGCTCCAAGCCGACCAGCAAGTGACCTGCATGATTATGAATTGCAACGAGAACCAAATTTTGATTCTGTAGAACTCAAGACATTCCTTCAAAAAATCTTCCGCAGGTGGTTCCAGATCACAGAATAAAGCGGTGGACTATTTTTCATTGATCCGCATTTTCTTCTATCGCTCATTTCGGCAACCATACGATGACAAAATAATCTTGCCTATTTATTGCTTTATCTGAAATTGCGGAAATTTTTTTGGATGGTGGAGGAATTATGTTCTTAAAACGTGTCAAATTTGTATATGCACAATTTCTCATAAGAAAGCATTGGAAGCACTAATTTTATTGTCTGGTAATTTTTGACAAACCCTGTTATACCATGTTCAACACTTGCAGAACAACTGAATGCGTATAACACATCATCCATTTTATGGCGTCTGTTCAGAGCAGTAATACCAAAAAATCTTAAATTTTAAATGCCATCGGATATTGTTTGCTTTGATAACCATTTGTAAACAAAAAATGACCAAAAAGTTGACCACGGAAGCATAAAGATTTGCCTGGCGGACCTTTCGATCCTCACTCGATTACTTATCTCTTATATTCGTCGATTCTTTTAAGCAGAGCGATCGAAATGCCGACGGCTTTTGCGTGCCCTTTTTAAGGTCAACTCTGGTAATTTAAAAATAATCTAAATATTTTTCGCAGTTGGTATGTGTCTATATATTTTTTTGATTTAGATATATTTATGTATCTATTTATTTAATGCGCGATGCAATCTGTGCCAATTGCGATGATGGTCACAGTAAATATAGATTCTTGTGAAAAAATTGTAATGCATAATTTTGATTGAATATTTAGCTTTATATATCTATAATAATGTGAGATGGATTCCGCGCCGATCGCGATGAGGGTCACAGTTGGTATAGATACATATATATATATTTTTGATTTAGATATCCACGATAGGCTGTCTTCTAAATGAGTCCTTGATCCAGGATAGGTTGTCCTCCGTTGGGTTTTCGGTTGGTCCTTTGGTTGGTCCTTTGGTGGGAAGCACTACTTTTAACTTTGAATAAAACACAACTGACTTCTTTTGGTGTCGATCTAAGACTAATTTTTATTCTAGCTCTGAGTACATAATGAAATCTATCTTTAGAGTGGGAGTACATATGCCGTGTCTGCGCTTTAGCGTAGGTCAGCGTTTCCGGATGCCCTGTGGCCCAGTTGTTTACAAGACTCAGCTTTGGGATTTCGCTTCCCACTTAACTCGGAACGATGGCCATAGGGAAGGAATGGCGGAAGTGACGATAGGGTCCACAGCTGGCGGTGAAAAAATTATCCTCCTACTAATGGTCCAAGCAACGGTTGTAATCAGAATTGATAACGTGACGAGCATGTATAAGATTGACAGGTGAGTGGTGCCACGTTCCACTATGCTGGTAACTGCCAATCCATTTTCCAGGTACTTGGAGGTACTTGGAGGCTTATGGGTTCGTCTATTGGAATCGTTGTCAAATTCTGGATGTATGGCAGGTTTATTTCGATGTCGTCGATTACTGTAGTGGCGGCATCGATGTATTTGGTCCCATTCGCGGAGATAGAGTAATTATCATATTTAATAAGCATGGATCCACTGAAGATCTTGCTCGAGATGCAATTGAAGGTAATGCTCAAATTTTTCACGTTGAGGATCACCATCATTCCCTTTATAGGGACGAAGATCTGTGGTGAATGTTCTCATTGTATTGTGCTGCAGGAAGCTTCCTTGTCGTCCATCAGGTTGTGGACGCATTCAGTGATATTCGATGTTAAAGAAGTTTCGCAAACATGTGTACCACCAACTTTTATCTGTTAGAAACTTTCTTATCTTTTCCATTTCGACTGAATTTAGTAAATATTTTGGGACAATTTTCAAGTTGGCAAATAATAGGCTTTCTGCAGTATTAGTTATGAGGTTATAAAGTAAGTCTATGTTAAAGTTAATCCTGTCTGTATATTGGATAAGCTGAATGTTTCTATGTTCATCGTCCATTTGATTAAAAATTTTGGTCTGGTAAGAATTCATAAAGTTGCCTATAAGTTCCTGTTCCTGGTTTATATGTTCGGTTAATTCCCCGAATCTTATGCGGGTTTCATTTTTGAAAATAACTTTCGTTTCGGAATTTACGTGTAACGTTTCCAGATCCTTATAAATCTTCGCTTCGTCGTTGGCGTCCATGTTTCCTGAAACTATTTTTACTATGAGGCCTTATCCGTTAATTAGTCCCCTTCTCAACCTACTTCTCTCATTGTTGAGGAGTAAGGAGCTTAACCTTTGCTGGACTTGGAATAGCTTCCGCTGTAGAGTGAGTTTGAGCCACTCGAACCCATTTTCGCTAAGTAAATTCCCTATCACCTCGTGTATTTTAGCCGCTGAGTCACTCTCGCTGTTCCCATGTTGAATTGTATAAGGGGTTGATCTCTATCGAAAGTTTCGCTAACGAGCCTTTGAGTTGTTTCCAAGGTTAATCTGTAAAAATTACATCATAGGTGTGACTGTCCATGTCTTTTAAGTATGTTTATGTGTGGTTTGTTTGCAATATGGCCCTCCTCACATTTTGTTTGTGTAGCTTCTCGTAGTGCGTAAAGTTACCCCGCCATCTCGTTAAACCTTGTGTTTACTAAATCGAGTTGTAATTTTATTTCTCCTATTTTCTATGCGAAAGATTGAAGTGCCAGCCTCTAAACCTGAGGGATATTCTCGTTAAGGCGGTCTGTTCGTTTTCTTGTTGCCTCCTCCATATGTTGTTTCAAAGTGGGGTATAGTGTAGTTTGGAATTCGTTCAACTTTAGTAAATAGTCGTATTTGTTATCAAATTTAACTGTTTTCTCAAAAATTTGAGTGCGACTACTGACGAGTTCGAATGGGGTTAGATTTGTACTACAGTTAATCGCATTGTTTTAGGTTATTAAAGTTTCGAAAAGTTTCTCGTGTTCAAGGTTAGTTTTAATTCCTTCCTTTTGCTCTCAATTATTCTATAGATTTCAGAGTGGAACGCAAATATTGAAGAAGTAACGTGTACTTATTTTTCATATTGTGTCAGAAATTCTTTAAGAACGGCTCCCGAAAACTCGGCCCCTTGATCGAGTGTTATTTTTTTGGGTACTCCAAAAGTTTTGAAAGCTTTAACAACAAAAATGGAATTTCTGTTGGACAGTG